TTTCAACCCTCACCGTGTCTCTACCCTCTCTGTTTTCCTTTCGCGTCGTACGTACCTTTCGCATAGACATCTCAATTCCTCCCTCTTTTTGCCCTTCCTACTTCCTTTCGTACTTTGTCCCTTTTTCCTCTTTAATCTTCGACTTATCCGTAAGAAAATCCTTCTTCCTTGGGAGAAACGAGAGGAAACCGGGAAGATTCGCTCTGTGTTTCACTTTGTTCGAGTAATATTTTTAGATTTGGGTTTTCATTTATTCTTTTTGTAATTCTCTCTCGAGTGAAAACACGCGATTTCGCGTGAGAACGTGTCTGCGCCACCGCTGCAACCATTTTCGAACATAGGCGCACGCCAGATAGAGGAATCGATCCGCTTACCTGCCTTCGAACGAGGACCCTTCGCAACCCCATGCGATTACATCCCCTTTTTATCGCGGAGGAGTCGCAGTCCTACACACTCGTCCCTGAGCTTCTTTCCCTCTCGAGCATTCCGGGAATTTTTATGAACCAAGACACGCTTCTGTTGTATCTGTTGAGCTTGGTAATAGTTACGAGGATCTGTTTAATTGCGATTCAACCCCTGTTTCGTTGGAATGTTTGGAGAATTTGCATGAAAGAAACGGTTTCAGCAGTTGAAACGGGTAGAAGAATTCTTTGTATCGATTCCTTCGACGTTCGCTTTTGTGTTGCACCCCTTGGATTATTCTGCGGATTTGATGTTTTTTTTTTATAGCGGAGGATTGTGAAGTCTTTTTTAGAGGATTCTGCTGGACTTTGGTAATTTTATTTATCGAAGAGTTAAGATTTAATGTGTATCTTGGAGAAGGTAAGATTTTTCACTGCAGAGGAGTTGAAATTTTTTACCTGAGAAGAGTCAAGATTCTCCTCTTTTCAAAGTTGGAATTTTCCGCTCTTCTGAGTTGAACTCTCCATCTTTGCAAAGTTGCAACTTTTCATCTCGAGAGTCAAAATCCTTCCTCTTTTCAAACTTAAAATTTACTAGCCTTCAGTGTTGAACTCTCCATCTTTGAAAAGCTGCAATTTTCTATTTCAAAAGGGTTCAAATTCTCCCTCTTTTTAAGCTTAAAATTTACTAGCCTTCAGAGTTCAACTCTCCATCTTTGGAAAGCTACAACTTTTCATCTCAAAAGAGTTCAATTTTTCTCTCTTCTCAAACTTAAAATTCACTACCCTCCAGAGTTCAACTCTCCATCTTTGGAAAGCTACAACTTTTCATCTCAAAAGAGTTCAATTTTTCTCTCTTCTCAAACTTAAAATTCACTACCCTCCAGAGTTCAACTCTCCATCTTTGGAAAGCTGAAATTTTCTATTTCAAAAGAGTTCAAATTCTCCCTCTTTTCAAACTTAAAATTTACTAGCCTTCAGTGTTGAACTCTCCATCTTTGGAAAGCTGCAATTTTCTATTTCAAAAGAGTTCAAATTCTCCCTCTTTTCAAACTTAAAATTCACTACCCTCCAGAGTTCAACTCTCCATCTTTGGAAAGCTACAACTTTTCATCTCAAAAGAGTTCAATTTTTCTCTCTTCTCAAACTTAAAATTCACTACCCTCCAGAGTTCAACTCTCCATTTTTGCAAAGCTACAACTTTCCATCCCAAAAGAGTTCAAATTCTCCCTCTTTTCAAACTTAAAATTTACTACCCTCCAGAGTTCAACTCTCCATCTTTGGAAAGCTGCAATTTTCTATTTCAAAAGAGTTCAAATTCTCCCTCTTTTCAAACTTAAAATTCACTACCCTCCAGAGTTCAACTCTCCATCTTCGCAAAGCTACAATTTTCCATCTGAAAAGTTAAAATTTTCCCACTTTTCAAACTTCAAATTCACTACCCTCCAGAGTTCAACCCTCCATCTTTGCAAACCTACAACTTTCCATCTCGAAAGAGTCCAAACTCTCCCTCTTTCCAAACATAAAATTCACTTCCCTCCAGAGTTCAACTCTCCATCTCATCAAAACCACAACTATCCGCCTCGTATAAATAAACCTTCCCCCCTATCAAACTAAACTGTCTCAATCCCAAGAGTTAAAAATACCACCGTAAATTTCCAAGATTCCCGTAAATCAGTAGTATTATATACACCTACATACACGTAAGCCGCGTTTCCACGTGAACAGCGACGTCACAAAGAACGGTTGCCACCGCTTTCGATCGTTACGACACTAAGGCGAGTTTGATGAAAGATCGATGCGATGCCGGGGCGCGTGCACGGAGGGACGCGGGAAGAGTGTCTAAAGACGGCTTCCGGTGTCGCTGCGGATTAT